AAGAATCTCTACGTATATTCACACACAGACACACATAAACTTATAAAGAAATAAGTACGTAGTTAAATACCTAGATCCTTAGTCGAAAACTTGGGCAGATACTCCATGAAAGAAATTGTTCCATCACCATCTTTGTCATACGATTCCATTTCTTTCTGCGTCCTATAATTCAACCTCTCCACGGTTTGTTTCATGACCCAATCCTCGAGCTCATTAGAGTTAATCAACCCGTCTTTTGGCGCCTGGTCTATCAACGGGAACAAAGTATTCAGCCTCAACGTGAGGTTCAACTTTCCCTCATCGCCGAGATATTCATGCACTTCTTCCACCTCACTCGCATTCATCACGGGATTGTTGTTGTGTTCCGACAACCCCACGCGACTATTCGTTTCCCCTCTGAATCCACCACTTTCCTTGGCGTACCACTCCATCTTGGCTGCCAGAGGGTCAAAAATGGGGGATTGACCCATGTAGCCAAGACGTCGGTTGAGGCCAAGGTGGGGGTGGGGGTGGTTGGGGCCACGGTGTTTGGAGGGAAGCATGACGAGAAGAAAGATAAAGGCGGTGGCAAGTAGCGCGTAGACCACTGCCTTCGCCATTGTTTGGCATCAAAGAAGAAGAAGCAGCCAAATGCATGGGGGAAAAGGTGGTGATGATAAGCAGCCTACGACCAACTGAATAATTTGGGTGGTGCAGAAACGGTTAGTGACGGTTACAATTGGGAGGTACATATGATATAATGTAGCACCTTTGCTTTTATTGTTAGAGATCGGGTGGGGGGGGGGACATCTTTAATTGTTCCTATTTAGCAAAACCTCGGGCGGCTGTCTGTCTCTCTGTCCAGGTTTATTTAAGGTTTTCATGTTTGTAGTAACTAAAGGATGCACCTCTTCGAGAAATTATTAGATTGTACTGGACTGCCGTGTGGACTATTTTGTCACAGTTGGACTTACAGCAATTAAATTCGTAACCTCGTAGCATTGAGTGATACGGAAATCAAATAGCTGAAACTAAAAATATAAAATCCGATAATTTCGGAAATCAAATCTAACAATTAAAAAACCCGTAGTATTAATAGCTACGTAGCATTGCAGCGATTTTATTGTGCTATATAAAGAACATAAAAGGGTTTTTACACAGTAATTAGGACAGCCATTCATAAAAAAATAAAAACATTAGACCGATGGCAAAATGTAGGCCTTTGATATGCATTATATTGTGCCAGTTAACCCAGTGAGTTCAACCTTTCTTTGCACTTCCACGATAGGGAAACGAGTAACCCAACGAAAGAATGTTACACAACGACGAGGTAGAAACTACGTACATACACAACATACTGCTCTACTTTCAAATCGCTTTAAAAGACGAACAGATTAGGAATATACATCCCCCGTGAACTTTCAAATAAACGACGGTCGGTCAGTGACTCTTCTCCTTTGCACCCTGAAACCAAGGCCAGTTTGACTCACAGACATCACAGGGAGAGTTGCCATCGTTGTCCTTTGCACTTGTGTCTGCATTTTGCTTCACAAGAAATTCAGCAATGCCTTCTCTGTCACACAAAACAGCGTAATGCAATGCGGTTTGCCTCTCATTGTCCTTCCAAGACCAAAAGAACAGAATTTTAGGATGGCATGACAGGGGGATGGGATGGGATTCGGAAAAGCTTAACAAATTTTGCTACCGTAAGTAAATGTTTATCTTTTAATCTACCTTTTCATTAACATTGGCATTCTTGCTAACTAGCAGCTCTGTCATGTTCAGGTGACCACGATCCACAGCCCAATGCAATGGGGTCCTTCCCTCACTATCTGCAATCAGTGCACGTAAATTGTTTTAGGGCAATAGCGGCATCATACGAGCACATAAAAAGTTTGAGCAAAAGTTCCCTTCAACATCCTAATATAAAATAAAGGGTAGCATGATAGACCACCAATAAAAATAGACCAAACACTTTTCTGTGTGAGGAGAGAATACATGCCACAAAAAAAAAAAAAAAATTAAGGCATGTACATGTATCCAACGAAAGAAACATGCGGTGTGCTATTTATGTGAGGAACAAGCAATAAAAGCTAGGTTAATAGAGATATGCACCCGGCTCAGTATGAATTCAAACTTGGGGTACCATAGCTTTTTGGCCTAGCCTTTTCAAACTATTACAATTTCTGTGCTGATTTCCAAACATATATAAGCAAGTTAACAACAATACTGAAATTGGAGGCTTCCTCGTTTCCACATGCCTTAATGATGTTAGTTTGAACTTTATCCTACGTGTTATCAAAGTTTATACTTAAGTATGTTGACCATAGCATAAAACGTATTTACCTATCTTAAATGATCACAATCCTAAAGGGTCCAATCCACTGTTGTTCAACTTTGTTTTATGCATCCAAACTTGGATATTAAGCTTGAATTGTAGCTCATTTATCAAGGAAATAACTTCTAAAAAGCTGAGATTTAACAAGGAAAGGAGCTTCTATGAAGCTGGGCCTGGTTTATGAGCAGCCTTACTCTGTTAACAACCCAGAAAGAAAGTATACATGACTTCATAGTTATGGAAGTATTAATGGAATACAACAATTACGATAATCAGTTGAAACGTAATGAACCTATTAAAGAGGCAGATGGAAGAAAAGAGACCTTTCTGATCCACTGAAACGCCACTTTCAATGCATTTAAGCAAATTATCCACTTCTCCTTCTCTGGCAAAGGCATGAATAGCATCCATCTTTCTGAACAATAAAAACAAGCACACCTTACATTAGCATTACATTTTTTTATTTCCAAGAAATGGTATTCTACTAATCGACAGAAATGTGTAAATATTAACCCTCCCATGCTTAGTAGTCCTAAGAAGCTTACAAATCCTTTTCAGATTCTTCCTCGTAAACAAAGGTGCTGAAAACCGGTCCCATTGGTCCATTAGAATCATTACCAGATGCACTACCTTCTCCACCTCTGCTCTTCTAGTAATCATATGTCAATAGACAAAAAGAAACCAGCAGAGAAAACCCAACAGAAAGTAAGTATTGATGTCTGGCAGGGCTAAAATAAAGTCGAAAACAAAAGAATCAAGACTCACCACAGTCAAACCTGCTGCCCATTAGGATAAAGCTCTGTGACAATATCAATGTACTTCTCCATAGCATCTTCAGGAGGCATAGCACCCAATTTCTGCCAAGCTTGCCTATAAGAAATCACCGAGCGAACAGATTCAAAAACACAGCAAGCCACCTTCTATAGTAAGATACAAAGTTTAATCAACCCTAATTCACCAATTACCCAGTAAAAACATTACAATTAGGGCAAAATTTCATCTACCTAATCTTGATATTAACCAAAATCAATCCAAGAAACACATTCCCCATCCTTATCAAGCTGAAAATAAGATGCACATAAATACACCCAAATCTTGCAAGTAAATTTTCGGTATAAAGTAATGGCAGAGAAAATACCATTTGGCGCGAGCAGTCATTTTCAAAGCAGATGGCTGCGGGGCGCTGCAGGGTCCCTCAGTAGCAATCTTGTAAAGCCCATAAAGCTTCAACTGCGCATCACTCGACACCTTCTGCCGATCCACCGCAGCCGCCGCGACAAACGCCGTCGCCGCGCTGAACAGCTCGTCCAATTCCGTACTCTCCACGCCTTCCCAGTCATCGTCACTGTCAGCTTCGCTGCTCTCGTTCCTGACGCTGCCGTGCTCGGCGACGACCGATTCGGCCTCGATTGCCGCGGAGCTCAAATCGGCGGAGCGAAGCTGGTCGTCGCGGGGCTCGGGTTTGAGCGGCGGCGGATTGGTGTCGGCGGGGGCGGGGGCGGCAGCTCGAGCGCGAGTGAGGCTGAGATTGTCTTCCTTGAAGGAGATGACTATGGCGATGAGCTTGGCGAGGAGGTAGGAGAAAATGAGGCCGAGGATTATCGATTGGAGGAGCTGCTGCCACTCTCCGCCCATTGTTTCTTCTCTGCGTAAAATCCTAAACCCTAACCCTAGGAGAATTGAAATGGATTGAAACGACAAGCCAAAACCCTAGAAATCGGGGAAGTAGAGAGAGAAAGAGACAGAAAAAGATTGGATTTTTAGAGAGAGAGAGGGTGAGATGGCGTTTTACTCCCCGGAGATCAGAGCGCACCGCATAGGAGACAATCATCGGGTCCTCCGCGGACAAATACAGTTAAGTGCGAGCTCACTCATTAAATTTTAGTTTAATTAATAATTAATTTACTTATACCCAACTTAGCTGAATTTTTGTTGTATATCAATGTATATGAGTTACATTTGATAAATATTAATAAAAAATAAATAAATACACGTGTTATAAACAAGTGAAATAATATATCACGTTGAAAGTGTTTTGACCGCAGCTAAACTACTTAAATTTATTGAGCAATGTAGTCCCAATCTAATCTCTACACTTAAGTTCATATCTTCTAACACAACATGTCTCATTAACAATAAATTTGTTACAATCTATTTTTTAGCCCAAAAGATATCAACACTCTTTTATAAGAACCACAATCACATGCTAAAACTTATGTTGCACAAACACGGATGTGATGACATGCGACATGGTAAATCTCAAAAAATAAAGACACGAACATGGATAGAACACGGCGACTAATATATAAATTAAAAAAAAAAAAAACTGGCCAAAGCTTATAAATTTTAGGTTTTATAAGTTTTGATATTTACAAAATTGCCCCAAAATGTTTTTATATTTACAAAATTGCCCTAAAATATTTTTACATTTACATAAAAGGCCCTTGCCGTGTTCATACCGTTAACCATGTCCAAACTGTGTCCGGGCGTGTTGGCGCGTCCAGGTGCCCAACACTCCAATAGTTCGAAGTTTTAAAGTATCTGCGCAGCATAGGCTAAAACACATGCAACTTGTTCAACGACCAACAAAATAAAGTTAGGCAAAGGTTACCATTATAATAAAATTTCAATTCACGTGACATATTATTTTAATTTTAATTTTAGGTTTATGTGAAATTTGACGAACAAAGCATGAAAATTCAGATAACATTCGTATAATTCACTTAATATTACACATTGTAGATGCTACCTTAGGAATTCACGAATTTTTTTTTTTTTTGGGTCTAAATAATCACTAATATCTTTTTATGTCAAAAAAGAAAGGATTGGTAACAGTTTATAATCTATGGGTCTTCTCCTCCATTGCAACATTCTTCATCATCAATACTTGCACTTTCCATAGCCTGCCAACCAAAAAATGTTTAATTAGTAATCAAACAATGATCAATAAGCTAATTACTATTATATACGGAACAAAGATCATTTTTGAATCTCGTTGTCCGGAGCATAAAGACTAGGCGATCCAGATCACTTAAATGAATCTGACGGCCCCCATTAACTTATTTCGTTGGACCATCTCACAAACAAAAAACTCCGATCTATCTTTTACACAAACCAAAATCCTTAGGCTTCGGACAGTAAAGTCTGGATAGGATCCAAATTGTTATTGACAAAAACAAAGAAGGGTTTGCATGAAACTAACTTGGATCGACGGCAGTGGTGGCGCCAGTCTGTTCAAAATCACAATCAGAATCCTTCCTTCCCATTGCTTGAAAGTAGACATTCATGGCATACGCGGCATGGGCTCTAACTGTGTTGGGCATAAAGCACAGCCCACCTTGTTTGATTGGCCCACAATTCAATCCCAGCCCACAAACATAATCAATATTCTTCTGCAGTGCCTCCGGGTCGGCCCCTTTCTTGGGCAAGCACCATAATTTACCGCCGCGTGATTGCGGCGGGCTCGCCGGTGCCAACACTGGGACTGGGCCTGGGCCTGAGTTCTTAGGTGTAGTCGAACTAGCCTGTCAAATCCAAGTCCACAAACCAATCAAGCACATACATAATAATGATAACAAGAAGGGGAATGTTTTAGGGTGATTATTTGCGGCGGCAGCTACCGTGTGCCGAAGGACTCCGACGTTGTAGGTCGGCGTCATGTCGGGTCGAAAAAGCCCAAAATTCCTCTCTGGTGTTGGGCCGGGCTTGAGATTTTCATTGAACAAGGAAAATACGAAAGTCTCAAAAGTTCGGTTTGGCATTAACGGGGTGCCATAACCTGATGTCACGTGTTGAATGAGATTTCGATTGTAATCCTCAGCACTCTGTGCGTCAACCCCAACTTGGGCCGGATCACCCTGAGAGGGCCAACCTGTTTCGGCAATAACAATCTCAAGGTCCTCAAAGCCCACAAGTTTCATAGCTGAAAAAACAGCATCTAATTGTGCATCCAACATGTTGGTGTATAGCATTTTAGTATTCCCATCAAGCACACCGGGATTTGGCCGGAAAAGCGCGAAATCAAGCGTTTCGGGGGAGTATCCGAAATACGGATACGGGTTCACCATGAAAGGAGAATTGGTGGATTGCAAGAAAGTGAGCAAAGGTTTAAGGACATGGATGTCGTAGCCTTGTCTAAATTTGCCGGAGGAAGGTGGGGTTGAGCTGGAGAGAATGCCTAGAGAGTGTGGGGTAGAGACCTTAATTTGGCGGTCCCAGGACGCATCTACTAGGGCATTGTGGAGGGCTTGCATGGCAGGGACAAGGCCAGTAATGAACAACTTGTTCGTGGTGGATAATACTTCGTTGCCTACTAAAATTCGGACAATGTTGGTGGCTGGGATATGAGGCTGGACGTTGGTTTTAAGCCACTGTTGGGCGGAGCGTATCTTGGTGAGGTGGGGGATTTGGTCATTTGGGATGGTAATTGTGACGGCGATGCCGGTGTGAGCAAAGGCTCGGAGTATGTCGGGGTTGGTGTCAAAGAGCCTAACACGGTTGATAATGGTGGATTCCAGAAGGAAGTGGGCGACTTTGGCCGGCGGAGGAAGGTCACTCGCCATCGTGCCATAGTTCACTCCTATAGATCCTTCCCCTCCTATCAACAAAAAAGCAAAGAAAAGAAAAACAAGACTTTTATTAGCGTAAGCGATAATAAGGGAAAAGTTATACTAGAACACATGACCTCGCATGCACAGAGTAAACGCTCTTAACCACTTCACCTTCTGATAGACGCTATGAGGGTTGGAGATTATGCGTACCTTGAACGAAGATTGAGACGAGAAGGAGCAAAATGCATCTTCTAGACGATGCAAAATTGAGAGCAAAATTTCCCATGAGTAAGAGTAGTGATGTGTTTTGGAGTGCTGTTGTGCATATTGATGCAAGGGTGCTGCGCTGGTGTGCCGGTTTTGAAGAAGTCACTTTTGGATTCTTTGCTTTGGAGTCGGGACTTGGGAGAGTACGGTTTCTTGCTGCCGAGGTTAAGTGTACATGTCTCGAGAGAGCTTTTACCTTTTTGAGCCTACTTTTACAAACACCGCCCGCAACTAGATAATTTGATTGGAATGAGATTCAACTCTAGATTTTTGTGTCCGGAGTCCACGTATCGAGAGATCAGAACTGTTCAAGAGAGAGAAAGAGATCTGAATCGTTCAAATCTTTGAATTTTTGTGGAATGGTCGAGTGAGATGGCCTAATAAGAGCAGTATGATTGAAATTGAGTGGTCTGAATTTCTCGATCTGTGGAGTCGGACGCAAAGATCAAGATTGGATCTCAATTCAATTTGATTCTCTGTTTCATCATTTCTTTTTCTTATTTTATATAGATTGCAAATCAGGAATATTTTTTGTTTAATTTTTTGTTAAACTCGGTGTTAATTAAGTAATTACCACTCAAACAAAGTGATAAAAGATGTGAATATATGCTGATATGAAAGTAATAAGCAAGGGATTGATATCTGAAATTCAAGCTTTTGCTAATAGCTAAAGTTGATTAAGTACTGCTTATGAGTAGATCTTAATTTAATTTGAGTGGATAATCGCTTGGGGGAATTTACCTTTACTTGTCATGATGAACAACTGAACGATGCTTGCAGTCCCAAACAAATTAATTAATTAATTAATTCGAAGTGTAATATATTTTTTTCACAAACGATGGAATACTTGCATTAAGCTAATCAATCTAAACTACGAGACATGAAACTCAAACTTGGGTGCAGAGGTTGAAGCATACTAGCACATTGCTTTAGCCAATTTAGCGAAACACAGATATGCAAAGTGTAATGTTAAAAACTTAGATGAAATAGTAGCTTTGGTAAAAATTACTAGAACGCGACTAAAACATCGATCGATCTTAAGGATCATGGTTAAGTTAGCTAGCAGCTTAATTAATGAGCACATCTGGCATAGAAATTTTGTTTGCACCGGTAAAATTTGGGAGGGAATGACCAGTGCATACACATGATCAGATTGCCGATTGAGGAAAATGTACGTGCTCCAAATCAAATGGTGTTTCACGTACAATTAGACGGGATCGGATAACCCTTTTTCCTTTTTTGTCTATGTTATTGGTATTCTCTAACTAATTACTAAGGGTAGTGATTTCACATTCTCGTTTTCTCCCTTTGCATGTAACTTTACTATTCTCGTTTTCTCCCTCTGCATGTAACTCTAGTATTCTCTAACGAATTACTAAGGGTAGTGATTTCACATTCTCGGTTGCTAGGTGTGTATATGGGTCATGTTGTGCTAGGATAGCACCAAACCTTATGGAACCAACTCAAGCTAACCCACATGAAATATATCAAATGGAATGCAAGAACAAAATATAGAAAATACCAAGATTTTAACGAGGTTCCTCAACAGTCAGTGTAACTGGAGTACGTCCTCGGAGCAGTAGGAGCTCACCCAATAATCCACTATTAACCAAATGGAAGTTTACAAAGTGTTGGCAATCTCACAACCCAAATAACCCAATACACCCAATAACTCTCACACACCAAAGAAACAAATAGAGAAAGAAATATAATGAATAATTTCTTCTCTATACATATAGCACAAAGCTATTACAACAACAACTACTTTGGTAGATGATTACTAACCAAATGAAGCAGCAACTTCTTCTTTGTTTTGGGCTCTCTACAACTCTCCTTGCTCTCGGCAGAAAATGAGCTCTCTTACTGACAATGAGCTCTCCCTTCCTTATTTCTTCTATCCGGAAAAAAACCCACAATTATGGCTTTTAAAAAAAGCCACAAAACAAGCCACAAAACAAGGAAACATAATCATGTTGTCCTTTTTTTCTTTTGATTTGTTTAATAGCTAAAAGGTGATGTTGAGTTGCCACTTGGCCACAATTCAACAATCTCCACCTTGACCAAGTTCCGAAAAACGCCATGATAAGCCAACCAACACAATTAACACACAACATCACTCCCAAACACTAGCAAGAGAACAACTCATGCCGAGCCAAATGCTCCAAAACTCCTACTGCTCAACGCCTTCTTTATATAGGCAAAATGTGAGCCAAGTTCAAGCAATGAACAAACTTGGCTACACCAACAACCTTAGTCAACATATCAGCGGGGTTGTCTTTAGTTGGAATCTTCTGGAGAATGATTTCCCCTTCACCAACAATTTCACGAACAAAGTGATAACACACATCCATGTGCTTGGTCCTCGCATGATGAACTTGATACTTAGCCAAATAAATGGCACTCTGACTATCACAATGTATTTCCACCTACTTCTGATCAACTCCCAAATCTCTAATCAGCCCATGTATCCAAATGGCCTCCTTTATAGCTTCAGCAACTGCCATATATTCAGCCTCTGTAGTAGACAAGGCAACAAACGACTACAAAATGGACCTCCAACAAATTGGCCCTTTAGCCATAGTAAACACATAGCCTGTAGTAGACTTTCTTCCATCCAGATCACCTGCATAATCTGAATCAACATAACCAACTGCAAAATGACCAATACCAGAGTCATCTCTCTCAAAGCATAAACCAACGTCTCGAGTACCATGGAGATACCTCAATATCCACTTAGCTGCTTGCCAATGCTCTTTACCTGGATTATGCATATATCGACTCACCATGCCAACTGCATGAGCAATATCCGGTCTAGAGCATACCATTGCAGACATCAAACTACCAACCAAATTTGCATATGGTATATTTTTCATTTGCAGCTTCTCTTTATCAGTTTTAGGACACTGTAAAGAACTCAATTTAAAATGAGGAGCCAAAGAGGTACTAACCGGTTTGGTTGAATCATGAACTCCAAATTTCCGAATCAACTTTTCAAGATATTGTCTTTGATTCAAACTGACCAAACCCTTCTCTCTATCTCTAGTGATCTCCATGCCAAGGATCTTCTTCGCTTCACCAAGATCCTTCATCTCAAACTCATTCTTTATTTGCTTCTTCAATTTTTCAATCTCTTCAACATTCTTTGAGGCAATCAACATATCATCAACATATATCAACAAATAAATGAAAGACTCATCTTGCAACTTCTTGAAGTACACACAATGATCATATTGACTTCTAGAATAACTTTGGCCTCTCATAAATTTATCAAACCTCAAATACCATTGTCTTGGAGATTGCTTCAAGCCATAAAGTGATTTCTTCAATTTGCAAAACAAATTCTCCTTCCCTTTCACTATATACCCATATGGTTAACACATATAGATCTCTTCATTCGAATCACCATGTAGGAAAGCCGTCTTCACATCGAGTTGCACAAGCTCAAGATCATATTGTGCAACAAGAGTTAACATAATACGAATTGAGAAGTGCTTCACAACCGGAGAAAATATTTCATTGTAGTCAATGCCCTCCTTTTGTGCATACCCTTTAGCAACTAATCTTGCTTTAAATCTCACATTGCTTTTCTCATCAGCATCTTCCTTCTTGGCATACACCCATTTGCAACCGATAGCTTTCTTGCCCTTAGGCAATTTAGCTAACTCCCAAGTCTTATTCTTCAAGAGAGAATTCATCTCATCACCCATGACATTGCACCACCTCTTCTTCTCCTCACTCTCAATGGCTTCCTCAAAATTGGATGGAATATCATCAATGATAATAGGAAGAGCAAAAGCAACATAGTCACTATACCGAGCTGGCTTGGTAATTTGTCTCTTTCCTTTGTTCTTTGCAATAGACTCTTGAGGTGAAACTTGCTCTTCAACTTGAATAGAATCTTCAAGTTCAACTTCTTCAACATCCTCATGGTCTCCAACTTCTTCACTTGTAGTGGCTTTGACATCAGCGGAAATAAGATTTGAAGTACCAGAGGCAACTTTCTCAAGCTCCACCTGTTGGACATCTTTCACATTCTTCTCAGAGTCTTTGTACATACTTTCTTCATCAAATGTCACATCTCTGTTGATTACAAGTTTCTTCATCTTTGGGCACCACAACCGGTAACCTTTGACACCACTACTAAAACCAAGAAAGATAGCCTTTTTGGCTCTAGGATCAAGTTTATTTTCAGTCACATGAAAATAAGCAGGTGAACCAAAAATACGGATATAGTCATAATCAGAAGAAGGTTTTCCAGTCCATACCTCCATTGGTGTCTTACCCTGAACAGCAGCTGAGGGTAACCGGTTGATGATGTGACATGCATAATTAACTGCCTCTGCCCAAAATGACTTGCTTAAACCCGACTGGGACAACATACATCTAACCTTTTCAAGCAAGGTTCGATTCAATCTTTCTGCAACTCCATTTTGTTGTGGAGTTCCCCGAACACTGAAATGTCTCACAATTCCTTCCTCTTTGCAAACTTTAAAGAAATGATCGGATTTGTATTCACCACCATTATCCGATCTCAAAATTTTAATCTTTCTCCTAGTATGGTTCTCAACCATTTTCTTCCAACCCAAGAAAATGCTTAACATCTCACTCTTGTGCTTCATAGTGTAGACCCAAGACCTTCTTGAATAATCATCAACAAAGGTCACGAACCAATGTCTACCACTCAAAGAGGGAGTCTTTGTAGGACCTCAAACATCCGAATGCACATAATCAAGAATGTCCTTCATATGATGTACAGCAGACCAAACTTTACTCTAGTTTGCTTCCCCAAGACACAATGCTCGCAGAAATCAAGCTTACAAGTCGTGGCACCTTTTAAAATACCTTTTTTCACAACCCCTTGTAGAGCTTTCTCACCGGCATGGCCTAATCTCATATGCCACAGTCTAGTAGTATCTGAATCAGATGTGCCCATATTTTCAGAGACTACAGATGCTTCATCTGTCACAGTGCTTCCCTGCAATAAATACAAATGGCCACATCGAGGAGCTTTCATCACAACAAGTGCACCATAAGTAACTTTCAATGTCTGTCCATCTGAATGAAACCTGAAGCCCTTGGATTCCAAAGTACCCAAAGAAATAAGATTTTTCTTCAAATTCGATACATACCGAACACCTGTCAACTCTTTAACCATGCCATCATACAACTTTAAACGAACTGTACCAATCCATTTTGTTGTGCAAGGATTGTCATCTCCCATGAACACAACGCCACCATCAAACTCTTTCAAGCTTGAAAACCAATCCTTGTGAGGAGTCATATGATGAGTACAACCTGTATCCAACACTCATTTAGTGGCACAATTAAATGATGAGGAAGTGGTTAAAGCAAAATCAACAAAATCTGTTTCAACCTCAGCAACATTGGCTTCAGAACTTTCTTTTCCTTTGGCCTTCAACTTAGGACAATCTTTCTTCCAATGGCCCTTATTACGACAAAAGGCACATTCATCCCTTTCCAAAGGTTTTCTACCTTTAGAGTTTCCTCTAGGTCGAGAGTGTGATTTTTTCCTACTAGTAGAGGACCTCCTCTCCGATGATCTACCTCTAACAAATAAAGCTTTAGAGGTACTATCATGATTTTTGTCTCTATGCCTCATTTCAGAATTCATCAAGGCATTTGATACATCTTCAAATTTCATAGTTTCTTTACCATGCATAATAGTGGTAACAAAATGCTCATAAGAGTCCGGCAAAGAATTCAACAATATTAAGGCCTTGTCTTCATCCTTAATATCCTCATCTAAATTTAACAAGTCGGCAATCAACTTATTAAAAGCATCAAGGTGTCTAATCATTTTTGTACCTTCTTTGTATTGGAAGCGGTAGAGTTTTTTCTTCAAGTGTAGCCGGTTCTTTGCACTCTTTGTCATATACTTGTCTTCCAATTTTTGCCACAACACACTTGCTACCGTCTCCCGCATCACAAAATACTTATGAGTTTTTGTAAGGCACAACCGAATTGAAGAGCAAGCCCACAAATTTAATCTCTCCCATTCCGGCTTCGACATAGCTTCCGGCTTCTCTCCCAAAGCAGCAAGTAGATCTTGTTGAGCCAACACATCTTTGACCTCACATTGCCACATCCCGAAGTTGTTTGTGCCATCAAACTTTTCCACTTCGAACTTTGCATTTTGCACCGTAGTTCTTGCAAACTCGGAGCTGCTTCCAAAAGGATTCTCATCTTGCCCGTATGACATCTTTGGCAACTAGACAGTACCCAAGAGCAACCAGTGCTCTGATACCAATTGTTGTGCTAGGATAGCACCAAACCTTATGGAACCAACTCAAGCTAACCCACAGGCCCACAGGAAATATATCAAATGGAATGCAAGAACAAAATATAGAAAATACCAAGATTTTAACGAGGTTCCTCAACAGTCAGTGTAACTGGAGTACGTCCTCGGAGCAGTAGGAGCTCACCCAATAATCCACTATTAACCAAATTGAAGTTTACAAAGTGTTGGCAATCTCACAACCCAAATAACCCAATACACCCAATAACTCTCACACACCAAAGAAACAAATAGAGAAAGAAATATAATGAATAATTTCTTCTCTATACATATAGCACAAAGCTATTACAACAACAACTACTTTGGTAGATGATTACTAACCAAATGAAGCAGCAACTTCTTCTTTGTTTTGGGCTCTCTACAACTCCCCTTGCTCTCGGCAAAAAATGAGCTCTCTTACTGACAATGAGCTCTCCCTTCCTTATTTCTTCTATCCGGAAAAAAACCCACAATTATGGCTTTTAAAAAAAGCCACAAAACAAGCCACAAAACAAGGAAACATAATCATGTTGTCCTTTTTTTCTTTTGATTTGTTTAATAGCTAAAAAGTGATGTTGAGTTGCCACTTGGCCACAATTCAACATGTCATATGTCCGCGAAATTATGTAAGGCTAGGTAGCCCATCTTACTAAGATAGGGTTTGCTGGTGTTCAAGAGGGTTAAATTCTTGGATCAGTACGTACTTTCATTCATTCATTAGAGAGAAGATATACAGAGTAAAGAACAATAGGGTAGATGGGCTGGCACTGGCGCTGCACATCGATCACCTGTCCTTATCAATCTCTCTTCTTTCTTAATTAATTTTCCTTGAGGAGCTTTAAGTACAAAAGCAAATAAATATGGGCTAGAGATCCTCTTCGGATTTCACTGTCCGAAGGCCAAGGACGAGACTACTCAAATTGAATCCGACCATCTCCATTAACTTTCGTTGGCTCACCTTGCACAAACCAAAGGCTTCGATTTCTCATTCACACAAACCAAGGCCCCGATTTACCTAGTCATTATTCTCCGAACACTAAGGTCCGGAGAGGATTCAAATTCAGAAATATGAACATTACAACAAGGTTAATCTATAATGGAACAATATTCCGGTAAATTAGAGTCAATTATTAAAAAAAAAAAAAAGTTATTTACAAATTAAGTTATTTGAACGAGATCTATGATATAACTTTGCTGGCGATTTGAATTACAAAAAGGAACACCGCCTTCTATTAACCACAATTTGAAAGCTAATATACGCAGGAAATTAACGTACATATAATCGATGTAATTCTATATCAGTGTTTCCGCATATCGTGCTGAATACAAAGAATTGATTCAAGTTCTATATTGGTAGTTTGTATACGAACAATATTATTAAGGGAATTATTATTAGCACTCCAAAAATCTCATTCTACACTTCTCACAAATGTATTTTTCTTTCTAATTATAGAAAGTTTGGAGTGCCAAATGAGATTTTTTGAGTGCTAATAACAATTCTCTACTATTAATTAAGAAATTAAGATCCACCAGGCAAGATAATTAAGTTCATCTATGTTCTTCCAAACATTACTTCTTAGCTAATCTATTATTAAGCTAGCTAAGTGATCTTAATATGATCTAAATGAGAAAATTAAGAGATAATATGCGTGTTAATTAATTAACCAGCAAGAGAAAATGGAAAATTAGTCATACTTAACTGTATATAATTAAGATTGATGAACTAGCTAGCTAGCAATCAGGGCCTCCTTTTGGTGCTGAAACGGCAGTTTTACTTTGACGTTCATACTGCAAAAATATTCCTCTTGTAACGCTGCTTGCTCAAATGAGCATCTCAGAATTGCAGAAGCACCAGCGCTATATATATATATATATATATATGCAAGCTGCAGGCAAACTGTGGCTGGAATACTCATTTGAGCAAGAAACATTACAAAGAGGATTAATCCCATTAAACTCTCTCTCTCTCTCTCTCTCTCTCTCTCTCTCTCTCTCTCTCTCTCTCTCTCTCTCTCTCTCTCTCTCTCTCTCACACACACACACAGAGACAACTGTCACTCAACTGAATAAGCAAGCATATGGTTCTTGTAATATCCCTTCAATGCAGGGCTGTTCTATATATAGAAGGTCATAACTTATAAGTATGGGAAGTGATTTGGTGGGAGTCAAATCACAGTAATACTGTACTCTATAGTTACAGTAGTTTAATCAGGAGTCAGGATCCATCCCACTACATGCATACAACTAGAACTCAAATCGAGGAAAGAGACTTCTATGAATCGGGTTAACATTTATTGTGGTGTTCTCAATAACTAATAAAATACGATGTGTAAGACTCTCTTCACATAGAAGTGGTCTAAGACCCATGTTGATGATGAACTCGTTCTACCTAAATTCTCCCGATCAAGTGAAAGCTATCTCCCGATCTCTTGTCATCTTGATGGTATGGTACTATTAATTAATTTGGAGCCGTTGTTCATGACTAGCTTAATTAATTAGTTGTTGCTGAGTTAGGGTTTAGGCTAATGGAATCGGTTTGTTGGCAAGCATATGATCATGGAGGAAGGAAATGCGGTGGGCACTTGGGGAGCATGTGTTTGTCGTTTTAATTCAATTTGACAGTCCGTTAAAGGGGTGGTGCTGCTGCTGTTGCATGGATGCGACATGCAGCTAGCTAGCTAGAGAGGAGGAATTGTAGATGGCAGGTTTTGGAATGGTTGGTACGTACTTCTCACTAGATCTCTGCATGCGACGTAAAGGGAATGGTTGCTAATAATTCAATTCAAACTAGTACTGCTCCAAACCCCAACCACCAAAACTTAATTATTATGATGTTACACTTTTAAGAATTAGGATTCTCTCTAGATCCTTTTGTGAGGATCCGGAGATCCTTCAACTACATATGTTCATCGTATATCATGCGATCACTTTTCATTAACTACTATTTATATTCAATTTTTAATAAAAAAAATTTACATGATTTATGATCGTACGATATACGATGAACAGACGTGATTAGATGATTCTTGGGATCCTCACAAAAAGGATCAGAAGAGAATCCTCATTCCACTTTTAAATTCTTCAAAATGCAGACGTCATTCCGAATGACTTTCACATTAATGGGATGAGAGATTTTGTATATAGTCTAATAAGTAAGTTGAATTACTCCCCATATTACCAATATATTTTATGCTGGAATCAACTTTCTTCATGGTATCAAAACAGGTTGTCCTATGTGTGAACCCGAACAGCCACACGTGATTTACATCATCCCATTTTTGTTGTCCACGTATTAGGCGTGAAAATTCACCATACGTGAGGGATCGTGTTAAGAATGAACCTCACATAGATAGAAGGGTATTAAATAAGTTGAGCTACTTTTCATATTGTCAATTAATTTTACGGTAAAACTTCAACTTCCTTCAAATGTGACACTATTGTTTGGAATGAATCTACTTACCTTGTGCATCCAAGTGATTGTACTCATTTTATGCATATATACAAGTTCGAGTTCTCTTGCTCAATCTCCACACTTCAGATTACTTTTCCGATAGGACAAGGACTGACTACCCTTCCATGCCTTCCTGTTTTGTATGGTCACGGTTAAGCCACGTCAACATTTTATATTTTTTTTATATAGATAATAAGACAAAAATGAATAGTAATATAAAATGTTGACGTGACTTAACCGTGATCACACAAAATAGGAGGGCAGACAATCCTTGTCCTTTCCGATAATATGTTATATAATAATTATTATGATTAAAACAACTAAGCATGCAGCTAATACATCTAGCCTACTAGCTAGCCAGCTATTACGAGGACTTCAAATTAGAGAAAGGTCAAGAACAAAACACACTTTTAGGTCACCAGTAGCTACCATTATATAATATATAAATACATGAACTATTATTAGCACTTCAAAATTTTCATTATACATTTCTCGTAAGTGTATTTTTCTTTCTAATTATATAAATTTGGAGTGTCAAATGAAACTTTTGGAGTGTTAATAACAATTCTCTAAATATAATATTATAATATATATATATATACACTCATGTGATTCACGCTATATGATTTTGTCATAATGGTATTTTATGCTGGTGCCAATTTTCCTAATCAGACTAATTGATGAAAGCTCAAGAACTCTGATTTGAACGATTGGTATCAATCGCCATCGTTCATATTTATTCTTTGTTTTTTTTTCACTTAAAAATTATGAGGTTAAATTACAAATAACTACCTCAATTATTGAATCAATCACAGTTTCATATCTCATTTTTAAAATGTTTCAATTCCATACTTCTATGAAACAAGTTAACCGTTACTGTGGTGTTCTCAATAACTAATAAAATATCATATGTAAAACTCTCTTCACATAGAAGTGATCCAAGATGAGATGGCTTCCAAAAAGAAGAGAATATGAATAAAAGAGATCGGGTTACAATGGTAGGGAGACGAGTTTTATGCAATATGCAAAAAGTTGGCTTTTCGGACCACTCAATGGTAGGTATCATAGATGATGACAAATTAGAATAGAAGATCGAAATGACCCTCGAAAGAGAAAGTTATTAAATTGGAACGTGGACTTGTTGCCCTCCTCTAACTTGACCTAATTCTTGCTGGGTCACTGTCCCATTTTATTAAGTACCAGACGATCTGGCCGAGCAGCGAGTGGAGTCATTCTGCATGATCCAAATGACCCTCGAAAGAGAAAGTTATTAAATTGGAACGTGGACTTGTTGCCTTCCTCTAACTTGACCTAATTCTTGCTGGGTCACTGTCCCATTTTATTAAGTACCAGACGATCTGGCCGAGCAGCGAGTGGAGTCATTCTGCATGATCCAAATCTTGCAGAGCTCAACGAAACCCAGCGGGCCTAGACTCAAAGATTTTAGGCAATGATCAGGAAAACAAAGTAATAATTGAGTTTAGGCTAAGTGGTGAGATAACAAGTTACGATTAGGAAAAGATTCCGAACATTCGTTTTTTAATTCTGCACTCTTATGTTTGTTTTCTTCCGTCTCTTAATTTGTCATTAATTTATTCAACCTAACAGTTAAAAGAGACGAGCTTAAAATAAGAAAAATATGTAGAACGAGAAAAATAGAGTGCAGACATCATAATTAGTAATTAGTACCTTTTGAATGAATGCCAAGCCTTCAAAGTCAAGGGCGAAGAAATGTAAAAGGAGTGCTGGTGGGAGCTGGGAAGTGAGGAGCACGATCCCCGGGTTTGATTAATATTTTAAAAAGCTGGTTGGTGAGTTGTGAATTTCAATTTCAACTGAAGTACTGAGCAAGTGAGTAGCATCTGATTTTGGTATGTTGCACACGTGCATTGCGATCTAACTACCCATATCATAATATGCTAGGAATATTTTTGCTCACGTACCACCCATTGTATGAGTTTAAATTTCGAGATTTGTATAATGGATGGATACAAATCTCAAAATTTGAACTCATTCAATTGTAATAGGGAAGGCAGTGAGCACCACCACCACTCGGGTGTGTTGAGTGAAAAATGCACCCTAATATGCCCCTTCCTCACATTTCCTTATGAAAAATGATATCTGCACTCATTTTCTTCTTTTGCATACCTTGCTTATTTGTGTCCTTGATTTTCCTTTAATTTATGCAAACCTAAACAATGTGTATGTAAGAAGAAAAAGAGTGCGGATATCATTTTCCTTCGTTTTCTATCTTTGTTTTTTTTTACTTAAATTGCATAGGCCATCTGATGAGTAGTGTTTTTCATGTCATTTGACAGAAGAAAAGATGAATATTTCAAACTGAAAGCCATAACAAAGAAACAAAGGAGAAAATCTCCTGTCTCCACCAAACAAATACTACAACAAAACTGTCTTCGGATGATCGGTACTCATACACAGATGCAGGATACCATATATAGGGGCTATACAGTTAAAAGTGCCTAGAAATGAACTCGAAATACAGAAGGAAAACGTAGTTAGCACCGTGTGCTTGTGTGGCTGCTTCTTACATTGAAACAGACGAACCTTGAATTATCGACACCCTAGGGTAGCTCTTCCTTCCTCATTGATGGTTGTATTTCTACAAATTTTCTGAAGATCAATGTACCCTATAATGGTATCCTCGAAAAATACACCGTCAAGGTTTGCTTCGTTGAAGGTGGAACCTGATAAGACAGTGTTAATAAACAAAGCTCCTTGCAGATTCGCTTTCTCAAAGTTAACCCGGTCTAGAACTGCGTTTGAGAAGTTTGTACCTGAAAAAGAGAAAGAAAAAAATTGATAATCACCTCTTTCATTCCATATTACGATCTTGTGCATTTGATATCAAGGATGATCCGCAAGCTTACCCTTGAAGCTAGCTCCTGCAGCATAAGCCTTTGACATCACAACTTCTGTCATGTCTGCGCCATCAAATTTGGCTCCGGACATGAGTGCTGCTGCAAGACTCTTCCCCTTAAGATTGGACTTCTCGTTTGTGTAATCACAGAAGCGGAGATCAATTGCCTTGTCGTAAACTCCATTTGCCTGACCTATCGTGTTTCCAACAAATGCAACCTCACACCGCTTTGGATCAGTAGACAATGGAGGCAACCTCTGTTGGACACAGAAGAGGTCAATTTAGCAACTTTTCACAGTCACAGCTATAAGAAGTTAGAACTGGTAACTTATAATTTGGATAGTGACATTTTGGCTCCTGCTTATTTAATGAACATGTGGCGTTTCAAAAGAGATGAAAGAAAACATAACAAGGGAAAACGGGGCATTCAGAAAGGATTCGGTAATAAGAGATCGATACTAGAAGTGGCAAAGTAACGAAAAATCTTATAAAGTATCTTGAATCTCTGCTCATGCCATAAATGGATTTTCTTAAATTTTTTGATACTTAGAATGCTATTGGAGGCAAGCATTGTACAAGCGGATTGGTACAGACTTGTCTGGTTCTCTACGGCGATTCTAAAACAGGGTTCATTTCTTGGTAGCTTATTCGTTCCAACTAAGGCTAGACAAATTTCCTGAGCCTAGACAACCAACTCTCAACACAATCTTTGTCGTGATGAGTTTAATTGGATAAAATCGCAGTAAAGGAACGAGTTCAATATTTCCGATTATCACATTTGGTGTAAAGGCATCCCCCGATTCATGAATAAAGCTTTGTGATCTGAAGCTATGTTGAGGACCTCAAGGATTATTAATAGAGAAATTTGTAACTTGTGGATTTTTGGCGTGAGTTTGTCACCGCTTAGCTGGTTGTATGTCCTACTTTTGCTTTGTTCTCGATTGTCCTACAAGCTGATGTTGTGTTCCTCATTTTTGTATACATGATCTTGTTTCATGATACAAAACATTAAGACATTCGGAAGTAAGAAAAGCGAGAGAAAGGAATGACATTCAGTTCAACATGGGGATGAATCTCCCATGAACATTCCATTAGTCCATTGTGTATAACATCTCAACTACATCTTTTGCATGATATCTATATGCTTCCATTTTAAACAGACGATGAAGACAACAAAATCGTAAGGCAACGGCACCAAAAGCAAGTCAAGTGAAAAATAAATATACGGAATGAGAGCGTTTCAAACCTGACCAGCAGCAATTACAGGTGAGGCAGCGGTACTCAAGGCCCAAACAGCAAGAACCCCACAAGCTACATTCTTAACTTGCTTCCACTGACTCAAATCTTCCTTTGTTTCATGACCATCCCTAGAAGCTGCACCCGCCCAATTAAACCAAAACATAAATCCACATCTCCCATTTTAATGCAGGATACTAAACTAGGCAGAAAAAGGGGCGATCCCAAGCCAACAAGGCTTCCTCGCTTTGCGAGGTCGGGATGAACGTCTATCGTATGCAGTCTTACCCTTATTTTGCAAAAAGGTTGTTTCCCTGACTCGAACTCCAAAACTATGCAGAAATATGCTTATAAATCTACTAAAATAGAAGTTTCCAACTTTTTTACAAGACGATATTCTACGAAGGGTCTTCGAACTTCGGTGTAACCTTGCAAGGGGCAACGTTGGGCCTAGCCAAATCTCCTAATCTATATATGCAAGTTGCCATTTGAGACTGCATCTTAGAAAGCACTTTTGTTTATTAACAATTTTACTACAAGTGATTTTATTAGAAACGAGTTGAAATATTTATTAAAGAAACTTCCTAAGAAGCATTTGGAAGACGTTTCTCCAAGTGCTTCTATGAAAGTACTTGTAAGTGAAGCAGAACTTGAAGTTGTTATTTATAAGCAAAAAAAAAAAATCAATCTTCATAAACATTAATTCACCAAACAACCTAGAAGCAATCATTGAGAAAGGCTTACCGGAGCAAAATACGCGCGTCGGCGAGTGGAATTGCGGGCGTTTCGTCTGGGAGAATTGGAGAGAAACGCCGTTTCGAGACAGAAGAATCGATGAAGAAAGTGAAGCAGCCATTTTTCAGAAGACAATGGCAGAACTGAGACAATGGTCTTCTCATTCTCTTATCCTTGTTCTTCTTTACCGTTGGTATCCGCGGATCAAGATGACGTGGCTTGACACGTGGGATCGTGTCTGACGCCAATAAAAATCTCTGGAATTGGACCATCGCCTGATCCCTGGGGATTCTAGGGATCAACGCACACGGACTGTTGATAAAAAATCATACGGTCATAATTTTTTTCTTTTTTATATTTTTCTTGCAAAATGAGGCTATTTTACTTTTACAAATATTTAATTAGAACCGTACGATTTTTTATCAACGATCTGTGTGCGTTAATCCCTAAGACTCCCAAGGAAGGGATCCGGCGAGGATTCAAACCTCTTCTTTTGCTCTTATTAGCCTTATCCCCGTGGGTCACCACTGAATTGTCAATCTACGGTCACAGTTGCACTACCCATCGATGGAAGCGACATGTCGTAGGAGTTCAAAGTCAAACTTAGGAATGAATGAGGAGATATTTTTTTAGGAAAGGGGTTCTCTTCGAATCATTTCCTTCTAATTCTTCAAGTTCGGAGATCCGAACTATTAAAATTTGATCAAACAACTACAAACAGGGGTTCATATTAAAAGTTATAATAACTTTAACCGTTTGATTAAATTTTAATGGTCCTGATTTCCGGACTTGGTGGATTAAGAGGAAGGGATCCGAAGATGATTCTTTTCCATTTTTTTAACGTGTCTAAAATACGAAGCAATACAACATAAATATATATATATATATAATGACGCATAGCGTATGTGAATCTCTCCACTACGAGACAATGTTAATTTTAGAGTAAATTACATAGTAGCCCCTCAGGTTTGAGGTTTATTACAATCTCATACAACATCTTTAAAACATTTCACTTTCATACCTCACGTACTATTTTATTTCAAAATAATACATCCGTTACATTTTCCATCCATTGATCCGTTATGTGCTGACGTGGTTGCCACGTGACTGCCAAATGTGTGCCACGTGGCATAATTTTATTAAAAAAATAAAAGATAAAAAAAAAACCCTAAAGAACGCAGAACCCACCCCCACATCCCCCGCAACCCCTCCCCACCCCTTTAATCCCTAACCCATCACCCTTCCTCCCCGACACCTCCTTCCCTTACCTAACCTCCACTCCTGCCAACAGCCGCCAACCCACACCTCTACCTAGATCAAACAAAAAGGAAGGGAAAGAAAGAAAGAAAATTTATCGCATAGGTCCAATCCATTTTTCTGCAACATCAAATGGGTGCAGACTGCAGAGAGAGAAGAGAAAGAGAATGAACCAGCCGGCGACATAGATGAAGGCGAAGGTGGCGAACATGGAGACCAAGAGCATCGGGATCCGAGACCCGAAAACGGTGCAGGAGAGACGAGCACTGGATCATCTGCTCTGCATCTTCTCTCTCATTGCTGGTTCTGAAATCCTAACCAATCCGTTCCGATAGAACCGTGGCGTGTGCAGATTGCCGAGTGAGCTCGGAGAAGACGATGGATTGTGGGGGGTGGACTATTACCAATACATTGTCCGGAAGAAACAGATCTCGAATTTGATTGGAGTCGAGATTTTAAAGTTGTGTAGGCTGTGGCAGAGGTGTAGGCTGTGGATGAAGGGTGGGGGGTTGCGGGGATGGGGTTCTGGGAAGAGGTGTGGGTTGGCAGCGGTTGGCAGAAGTAGAGGTTAGGTTGGGGAAGGAGATGTCGAGGAGGAAGGGTGCTGGGTTAGGGATTGAAGGGGTGAGGAGGGTTGCTGGGGAGGTGGGGGTGGGTTTTGCGCTTTCAGGTTTATTTTTTTATTTTTTTTTATTTATAAATAAAATTATGCCACGTGGCACACATTTGGCAGTCACGTGGCAACCACGTCAGCACTTAACGGATCAATGGATGGAAAATGTAACGGAGGTATTATTTTGAAATAAAATAGTACGTGAGGTATGAAAGTGAAATGTTTTAAAGATGTTGTATGAGGTTGTAATAGACCTCAAACCTGAGGGGCTACTATGTAATTTACCCTTAATTTTATTTGAAGATATATTTTTTAATATGTCTGAAATACGAAGCGAAATGACAGCATAACGTATGTGTCCGAAAAATCTCTTTACAACGAGACAATGTTAGCTTAACTTGAGTCTAGTCAGTTGGCTACACGTAAATAGTAAATTTTGGTAAAAGCGAACTCCTAAGGTTAAGGAACAACAAACAACAAAAGGAAAAGGGCGGAGAAACGGTCGGAGGAATCGACGTTTGACTTTCTTGGGATATTTGAGGAATCTGTCTCCACTGTTTCTCTTTCTCCGACTGCGCACTGTCAAAAAACAAAGAATCTGTTCCGACAATGGGGAGCCAGAGCCAGAGCTCGTGCCTGTCGTACGAGAAGATCAACGGCGTCGCCAGTTGGCTTGGGACCCACGTGGCCTCCGCCTTCTTCGCCTCCCTTGAGCGCTGCTCCTGCATCAACCTCTCCACCTCCGACGACCACGAAACCAACCCCGAGGAGGCCCACGACCGCCCCCTCATGCTCTTCGCCTCCCGCTCCGTCAACCTCAGCGACCACCGCCCTCACTACGTTTCTTCCACTTCCTCCGCCTCCGCCTCCTCCTCCTCCGCCCCTCCACCGAACGACGTCGTCAACCTCCCCGTCTGAATGGGTGAATCGGATTAATTGGGTCGTTTTGTTTCTTCTCTCTCTAGGTTGTTTTCTGCATCTTGAATTTTTGTGGGTTTCATTGCGTCCTTTTCAGGTTGTGAAGTTTGAGGTTGGATCGGGAAAATTGGGGTTGGATTTGTTGTTTGTGTGATTAAAAATTAAAATGCTTTTTTTTTTATCTCAGTGTTGTTTGTTGCTTCTCTTCCAAGTGATATGCAGTTGGTATCGATGTGAAGGAAAATAGAAAGTTTTTCTGGGAATTTTATGGGTTTGATTTGATTTCTTTTTGTGATCATTCTAAAGAGAATAATTTGTGTTTTGGAATGTGAAATTGTGAATTGATTACTGAAGAATATCTAGCAATTTGGTCAGTTGGTCGTGCTAAAAGGATTACAAGCATACTTCCTCGAAGAACGAAGTTTTTTGGAATCTCCTATATATTGGGATTAAACTGAAAGGTTGTTTGATTATTTTTAAATTTGATTGAAAGATGATTACAATGGAAACAGCCAATGGCTTAAATAGTCGTATTACAATTCCTAGGACAACACAAAGGTCTTAAGTAATCAAACGATATTAATCAAACGAGAATCGAAAAATCCGACTTTTATTACAGAATTCTGACACCACGATTCTCTATAAAAAAAGACGTTGTATGCCTAATTCTGACACCAAAATATTTATTGTTGCCCTTTATGTCACCATATCAAATGAATTCAACATTTTTCAACTTTAATTCTTTTTTTTCAGAATTTGAAACATTTTATTTTATTTTAATTTTTTTGTTGGACTTGTCTCATATGTGTCCTACATCAAGATGACATATGTGGTTAGATAGGCAAGTTGGTCAAGGCATAGTAGTTTGCTCACCTCTTTTTCTCTAGGGTTTGAATCCCTATCTCGTAGAATGACGAAAGATAACATGTGGTGGGTTAAGCCAATTAGCCACGACATGGTAGTGTACCCGCCCCTGACAACTCTAGTTCGAATCCCCCATATCATAAAAATATCAAAAATTGACATGTTTAGACCATTTGTCTAGGGCATTGTCGATGTAGCTCTTTGAAAAGTTCGAATCTTCCATATCCAAAGATGAGGGATGTTCTAGATTTAGCAATTGGATCACTCATTTTGGGCCTATGGAGAGGCCTTCTTGCGGGCTTAGGGCAACTCTAACCCTAAAAGCCTCTTGGGCTATAAGCAACTCAATTCCCTTTAGTGAACAGTAACTGTCTTTAGTGAACAATAAATGTCCTATTGCATTTTCACCCCTAAACTGAATAGCTCAGGCTATTGGTATTAAAATTTTAAAATATAAAATAAAAGATAATTTTATTTTTAAATTCAGATAATGATAAAAGATTGGTTGAAAGTATTGAAATGTAGTGTAAGGTGGAAGAGCATGACTAGATATTTATAGAAAAAAAAATTATAATTTTTTTTATTGTAGTTGATGCCACTATGATGTAAGCATGATGTCACACCACTCAGGCTCTGAGCCAGACGATTTGGGCCTAGTGTGGATGTCGGGCTCCCTTGGACCCCAATGGATTGCTTAGAGAGGAGAAGCAGATTTTGGAGAGAAGAAGATTTGGTTGCCTATCCCTTTGGTTGCCTATCCCCTAGGAGATTTGAATGGGCTAGAGTTGCACTTAGGTTGGATATATGGGCTACTTATCCCCCAATATTTGCAACAAAGCAACAAATATCCATGAACATGCTAATCCGGCTTCCCCTTTTCTTAAAAAGGTTGTTTTCCTTTCTTAAACTCCAAACAAAATAAACTTTTGGGTTACAAAACCAATTAATCTAACTTCTAATCTGAATTATGATATTCTGTCATGCCCAAAAGAAGATGGAGGAGTGACAATTATCGTATGTCGGTTTGTCGGAGATTCGGCTTTAGACCCGATAAGTAAGTTTTGTCAAGCTAATCACGCTCATAATTCCTCATGTGACATCCCAACTTTTCTCTGTTTTTTTTTTATGGGTTCGTTGAATGTTGTCACCTTGTACAATTGTCCTTGAATAATGCAGGCTTGTTGGCCAAAAGTAGAAGATGAACAGTTCAATAATTGATGTTAATTTGTTTTGTGCTCCTTCCTTTTCACTTTATAATTCCCACTAATACATGTCTCATGTCCCCCTCTTCATAATTAGTCATATGCTTTTTTCTCCTTGTCTCCTAATTGAATCTTTGATACTTTGATTATCTCCACTAAATTGAAAATCGCTTTAACGAGAGAAACTTACCTGTAGCGAGCATGTCACTGTGAAGGTATTCCAGACTAATAATGCACTTGGACGATAGTTGGAGTCGACGGCTCTCCTAGGGTTCCCTCATCTCGGAGGATCAATTTCGCCCTTGCAACATCATAGGCAAGTCATGTCAAAAGTTAAAACACTTGACAATGATTTTAGGTTTGGGAAACAGAAGAGCGATAAAATGACGTCCCGATGCAGAGAAGTACTGTTGAGTCCATTTTACTTTTAGGAAGACACATCAGTTGTGTAATTGTATACTTTTTCTACCGTAGTATTGCCATTTCGTTTAGAGCATGAACATGCAGGAAAAAACTACATGAATATTTCATTTACACATCAGAAAGTAAAACTGCATTTGACATTACATAAAAATCTCGAAGGGACTTCCTGTTAAGTTAACAAAATCGCTAACGATGCAAGGCTAGACTAAGCTGATGTTAGACTAAATTGACAGTGTAAATATACAAAGGTCTGCGACGACGAAAACCCGGTTAGGAGTGCTCATCCATGGACACATGAGCTGCCGCAATCAATATCCCGTTAGACATGTCTTCCCCGAAAGACTGGATGGTCTTTGAGTTTCCAGCCCCAGGCTGAGGCAGTGAGCAACTTCAGACGAAATGGATTCCTGCACATCCCCACTGCCAACCAAAGCTCGCCGACCCTACCATGAGAGAGACCAGAAATGGCAGACAACAATTCAATCATTCTGACCGGCGAGCACGATGGAATGGTGGAGTTCCCCACCATCTTTTCCCCAAACGAATTCCAGCCACCAGCCCTTGAATCCCTATCCATCATCTTGGAGAACAAAGATGTTCTACAAGGCCCACAGGCACCTGAATTATATAGATATAATATCTCATTGGCTCTCCCTTAACAAATGACTTCACATCTAAAATTTGAGAACCGGCAGACCAAAAACATCCCACATTGGTTATAATTATACTATCTGGACAAGCTAACCTCGGCCACTGGCTGATTCCGGATTGGATTACATCACAACCATGGAATTTCAGCCACCTGTCAGGACATAAAATGGTCACCGTCACTTCGGAAATCTGACAAGGGGCCCATCGGAGAACCAAATTCTCAAGGTCGTCGATCGTGCACATGCCTGCTAGAGTTGTCAACCTGACCCTGCTGTGGTCATTGATGCTGCCAAAGGTAATGTCACTCATCAATCCATTAGATTTGCATCCAGTAATGAACCAAAGCAGGCACTACGCGATAAGTTTACTGCAGAGGGGATAGCTACAACTCTATGAAAACCATGCCAAAGAGTCAAAGACCACAATAGTATCAAACGGTTACTGGTAAACCATAATTGTGGAATGATCTGATCCGTCCATCCCATCCTGCAGTAACAATAACCATACCCCATGCATGTGAACTGGATGTGTTCTGGCAAGAAGTTTTAAGAAACTTGTACTCGGATTTGTGCATAGTAGATTGCTTTGCCAGTGGGCTCGAAGTTGGAAGCTTCTCCTCTGGCCAAGTCGCAGATCCCTTGGGAATAGACTGAAGGAAAGAATCTTGGCTGAGAGAAAAACACGCAGGTGAGGAAAAAGGAAGTCTCTCCGGTAAATTCTCATCGACAGCCTGAAATTGCCTCTCATTTTCTACGGTCCCACATTTAAATCCAGACCAAGGTATTGCCACAGAAACATTCGTGGAAAAGCGCTCACAAGATCTTATCTTTTTTGCTTGAGAGAGAACTCGTTCTTCATGATTATTGCAGTTCCATACATATACACTAGAATCCTCATTAACCGAGACTATATGTTTCCCATCTGAAGTGATAGTAGCAGATGTCTGGTTTCCTGCATTTCGTTGTCCTGAAAGAGACGAGAGACAAGGTTTAGAAAAGAGACAACAACAACAACAACAACAACAACAAAGCCTTTTCCCACTAGAAAATCAGTGATATGCACAATGAACTGCCTCTAGAAAATCAGAGTGGTGGAAACCAATAAAAAAAGAAACAATTACAACTAAAAGTACCAAGTTATGCAACTACCAGCATACTTGCCGACCACAGATAGACCATGAAGAATTCTGACTTTTGAATCGGCACAAGTGACCATCACTTTGCTAGAGTCTTGTGGGAAAAACTGTATAAAATAACAAAAATTACTGAACTTCAGATCCCCTATTGAATAGGTAAAGTGATGTGTAAACAAAACAGAAAACAAAGCAGTCAGTAAGTAACTACCTGGAAGCCTGTAATCTTTCTGCACGGGGACTTCTTTTTACTTTGCAAGCATAATTGAGCATCCAATTGCAAATGATTATCTGTTCCAAGATACACATAACTACTTCATCAGTACAAACTCAAAATTGAAACGTCACATTAGTTATGATAAAATTAATAAACCAGCGTCATAAACTCAAAGTGAGCAGGGGCATCTACTCAGTTTCTAGGCAAAGGACGTGAATAAAACGGAGGAGGGTGAGGAATGCAGGTCTAGAGTGTCAAAGCATACCTGATATATTATAAAAGCGGCAACTGCCTGTCATTGAGCCAACAATTCCTCCCTGCACAAGAAATCAACGGTGTTTGAATAAGCATTACTTCATATGTGAGGATACATATACATTTCTACATAATTGAAGGGCAAGAAAATCACCAAACCTGCCCATCAGGGCGATAGCACACCGCAGTAACTATATCTCTTATATCACTCCAATCAACAACTTGGCAGCAAGAAATTCCCCAAATACGTACTTTGCCATCTATTGAACCACTGATGAAGTAATTCTCATCCACTGGATTAAATTGAACACTGGTCACTGCATTATCAATAATAAACGAAAAATGGTAAGAGGTCAATCCAATACATTATAAGATAAGAGACCAGGATCTTCCTGTATTATATAATCATAGACAATAGACAGAAGCTCACCATAATTACTATGGGAAAAGACTTTGAGGCAACTACCGCATCCCACTTGCCAAAGACGAACAGTTTTGTCAACCGAAGATGACAGAAGATACTGCATTCAGAACAAATTAAAACAAAACAAGTTAAACATTCTGCCATGTATCAGTAAATGATAAATATTTTCCAGATTACTAGAAACTTAACTGCAATAAAAATAATCACTTACATTACTCCTTGACCAAGAGAGATCCAAGATATCACCACCATGCCCGTGAAATTCATGCAACGGTTTCTCCAATATCCGGAAGACTTTTGGGGGGAAAATAACACAAGCTGAATCTGATGTTTTCCTAAGGCTACTTGATTTGCCTATTGTATCCTTTTCCGAAAATAGTGGATTTAGTTCAGAGAGATGATTCACTGTGAAGTAAATGCAGGATGGATCTATTTCCGGAATGTCATGTTCATTAGATCTCTCATCCTCCACCACTTGCCAGACACGCACAATCCCATCTTCACCAGCACTTGCCAAGTATTGTCCATCAGGACTGAATTTCATTGCCAAAATTGCGCCCTCATGTGCCTGGATATCTTGCCCCATGTAAAGTGCTGAAAGTTCCTTCAACCGCTTCCCGCACTGGCGAACCTTAACTCTTTGCGCCCTGAACCCCATGATTGCAGCATTGTCATCGTGTGCCAATTCATCACCCTCCCCTTGTCTATCAACAAGGCATGCGATGGACCGCAACCTACTCAACCACCCCTTCTTAGCTCTCTTCAGTATCCCAGCTCTATTGCTTGCCTCCTCCATTCGATTATCCGTCAATTGTAGAGACAATGAAGATGAAGAACAAGAATTGCGCTCGGACTCTTCGGTCACTTCTTGACCTTCTAGTACCTTCCCATCCAGCCTCACTTCATCTACATTACACTCCAATGGCTTCCCTAAATTCCCATCTCTACATGCAGAATCATCCTTCCAATCCAACTCAATTGAGGAATAAATGGAGTAGTCATTACGCCGACATGACACAAATGACCGACTTAAACAATACTCATCCTCAACACATGAGGTGGTTCTCAACACAGCCCCACTACTCTCTCTAACTCTCTCAACCTCCCCTGCTACATCACTTGCTATTTCCACTGAAGTCTCTCGATCCGTACTCAGTCCCATCCACTCCAGAAACTTAACCCGCCGCTCCTTCACACTTCCCGGGGTTCTATTCCACACATCATACGGACAACCAGCTGGAACCCAATTGGTGAAGGAAGAATTGGAATCAAATATCTCAACGGTTTCAGACCCTGCATCGGATGTTGATGCAATTTCCTCTTGTGCATCAAAAAATCCACAATCTTCTTCCTCTTCACTAAAGCTACCCATTATTCTTTGAGTTCAACCCATCAGATTCCCCATCAAGAAACCAGCATTATAACGCCAGGCAACGTGCCAAAATCCAATCCCCCTCCACACAAGCAACCCAATGGAGTAAGGGTAACTACACAAAATTCAAATATAAAAAACACAATTAACACAGAAACCAAGAGCAGTTCAACACAAAATACTTGTTAAATTAAACAAAAATGGTAATTAAAGCAATAAAACAAAAACCAAGAGATCCAACATGGATCCCAATCCACACCCATTGAACCTGGTCTTCCACTACAATATATAAAAAAATCACAATAAAATATGCACAAAAACCCCAAATAAAAAATAAAAACAACACAAATTATAAATAAAAAAAGAGCACTTTTGAGCACAGAGAAAACCCATTTGCAGAATTTGATGTTCATATGATTACAAATTTACAATCCAATAAACGAGCCAGAAAAAGGAAATTAGATACTGGATTAAGCAAAAGCGTGAAATTTGATTACATGGGTTTGGCTCTATGAGATTGGTATGCAACTGGGGAGGGCATAGATCGAAGCAACCATGTGTAAATTTTGGAGCTTTCGGTTACTCGCTCGCTCGCTCGCTCGCTCTCTCGAGGAAGCAATGAAGCACGCTCTCTGCACAAAAATGAGAAACAAAAAATAATAAGGAAATAAAGTATTTATTTTAGTAAATTAAAAAGAAAAAAAAAGGAAGAGAAATAGGCAGGGGCAAAACAGGAAAACGGACGATTATTCTTGATATTCACGATCGATGGCCCGAGAAGCGAGATTTCGAGAGTAGAAGGATGTGCTTCTGCCTTCTGCTTGTGTTTTGTGTTTATGTGTTTTGTGTTTATGTTTTTGCTTTCTCTCTCTCTCTAGACTCCGTTCTCTCTCTAGAAAATAAATGGTAATTTCACTTTTTTTCCCTTTTTTTTCACTCCAATCAAATTAAATGTGTCGATTACTTTTTTCTTTGTGTGTTAAATTGCCAAAAAGAGAACTAACAAACTTGGTATAAAAAATAATTATAACCAAAATAAGAGTGGAGCTTTTGCGATGCTTCTAGGCTTCTAGCTAGGGAGAGTAAAACAAAATGGATCAAGTATAAATAGTTTGTTTACGTAGGTGAATATATCAGTTGATCAAACCAGCGTGCTCGCAGCAGTATGTTACGTTATCAAAATTTCAACAATATTTTTTCCTGATTAAATCAAAATATAGCGTGCTCGCGACATTATATGTCTTGATTTGAATTTCTTTCGTGGTTAAGAATATAACGTCATGCTATCAAAACAGAAACAAATTTTTATTTCTTAATTAAACAAATGAAATATGAAACATGACATTTATCGTAGAAAAATAAATGCTCTCGCTATTAATATTACAATCATACACTAACACTACATGGCTCGAACACCAAGGTTAAAATAGTCCATCAAATCCCTTTATGGCAATGAAATATTTTTTTTTTAATTTATTAACATGCACAATTTTAAATTAAAGTTCATTAATAAATATTTGATATTGAAAAACATGCGCAACCAAACATTATTTTATGATTTGCAACCCTATGATCTTTTTATGTTAAATTTTATGCTCTGAAATCTAAATACAAATGAATAAGTTTTTAATTTTAATTATTCAGATACGTGCATTTGTGATTGATTTTTCAACCGGACTTGTTGCCTTTTTTTTTCCGCAACTAAACATGACTCTTTTAAGCACGTCTTTTTATTTTCTATAGTTTAATTTAATCTTACAAAATATTTGCTGAATAATCAAACGACTCTCAACCCTTTTTATGAGCATTGATATTGATACGATTTTATGCAGAACTTTTGCCATTTATCGTGGAGGAACCAAATATTGTCACTTTCAACCCTCTTTACCCCGAAATATTTTGCTTTTGATTCTCTTTTATAAAATCAAAATGCGATTAGATTGACTTGATTTTAATGGGTTTTTTTGTTTGGGAAAGAGAAGGGGGGGGGGGGAGGAACGAGTGTTTCTTTTTTTTAGTAATTATATAATTGTAGCATATATATTAGGTGGGTGTGGTGGCATGAATTTGGTAGGTCACTTTCCACTCCAAGCGGTGGTCAATGCCAAAATTTGTTGACTTGGAATTCCAATTTAGAATAATTGGATGACTTTACTTTATTAAAAAAGCAAAATATATAAAAATGTGAAATATTAAATATCGAATGGGAAAAGTTGACCATCTAATGAAAGATTGCATGTTATGTTGTAGTTTTTAGTAAAATCATTCCCATATAGCCATATATAAAATTTTGGGTTAGGGTTTAGACCTAAATCGAGATTATATACTAATGCTAGATTTTTGTTTTGTTTTAAAATGCTAGTTGAAAGTCAAATCATGTTTAACAACAAAAGCATAGGAACAAATGTAAATCTAAATCTAAATTGTAAATTATACATATACTAAAACTCAATTCAAAATAAATTAACAGTAAAATGGCTAAAATGCCCTGGGTTTCTTTCCTATTCCCGCTCTCTCGCCTCGTTTTCCCTAATTGTTAGGTTAGATGGTCAAGTAATGAATAAGCTCTCTTTGTAAGAAACTGACTACAATACTTACAAGTATTTAACTACAACCATTATTTAACGTAATTTATGTGAATATAAATATTTAATACATGTAAGTGCAGTAACTAAATCTCTGTTTGTAATGAAATCCGTCAATAAAAATTAGAGTAGAGGATACCACTTTGTCAAAAGAAAAAACAATCAAGCTTTCCCACAGAGCCATATATAATTTAGTGGCAGATCAATGTCACACAACATTGATATTTGTTACCCACCCATTTGCCTAACTCAAATTTACTTTATCTTTTAGTCTATATTTCAAGGTGAAATTACCATTTCACCATAGCAGGGCATGGGCAATGCTTATGATGCCTCCAGCCATATAGCCAAACCGGCCCAGACTGACAGTTCAAACTGGGATATCCTGGAGGATGTCACCTGTGAGAATAGGGCATGGGTTATGCATGGGTTCCATGCAATGCGTCCAACGAATTCAATGATTCTGTCTCTGCGGATTTTCATCGATTTCATGTGATTACAATAGTAATTATTCGGATTTAATTACAGAGTAGGATTATCTCGTCTCCAAATTCTTTTCTTTTACTGTAACTTCCTATTTGAACGGTCACGATGAATCTACGTCAACATCTTCTATCGACTTCTTTATAAATAGAAAAAAAAGACAAATAGACAAGTGAGAGAGAGGAGGGAGAGAAGGGGAGACGATTTGGAGATGAGAGAATTCTCCGATAATTACTGTATAAAAAAATTAAATGAAAACATGTACATTTAGGAAAATGATTTATTCTTTATTGCATGCACGTTCTGAGATTATGTAAATTGGTTCCAATTGATTACTGCAGATTTGCAGTGTACAGCATGATCATTTAAAAAGGAAAAAGAAATAGGATTAGTACTAATTAGGTGGCTTTGCATTAGGTTTATGTCACCATTAAGGCCATACAAACTCTTAACCAAAAAGTAAAAGTCGGTTTGTTTCCGCTAAACCGGGCAGTTTACTTAAAAAACGATTTCATGTGTTTCAGTTTCTGGCTAAACAAACCCTGGTAGTAGTCGGCAGGTAGCTCAGCCTTTTGATTTCTTTCTTAAACTCCTTGATCATATCCTAATTAATGTGCAAGAGAAGAGGTTTGTTTTATAAATTAACCTGCAAAGTAAACGAGTAGAATTAACGGATTGAGATTCATTCTGGTTCTCTATATTCGGAGCGGCGAGTAGAAAAATTCAAATCATTTATTTTCAATTTTATTGGCCTACTTCACAAATATAAACAAACTTGAATGACATGAATCTCTTTTTCTCTCTCTTGAACAGTTCAAATCTCTCTATCAGCGAGCTCCAGATAAATAGATACAAAGGGGACTAAATTAGTTGTTCTTAATCATATGTAACCATTAAAAAATAAAGAATACTGTCTTGACTAGTTATAAATTAACAAAACCTAAGGTCTCAATTTCAATTTTTTCGAAAGACGAATTTGAATTAAATTATTATGACTACTTAATTGTGAAATTGACACTTCCTCACTTTTTAGAATAGATAAAATCGAATGTATTAAAAAAATATATATAAATGTTCATTCTTTTCTTTGATGGTGATTTGTAAAAGTCACACTAGACACTCTTGTTTTTATGCATAATAAAGTGAAACATTTACACTTATGATTTACCTTTAGCTTCCACGACTTTAATTGGTGCCAATTGAGCAACATCCCCTTTCATCTTTTTGGATTAAAGTTTAGGGTATAAAATTACCATTATATCATACTGGTGATTTGTATAGGGAAATAATTTTCACACACCATTTTTAATGTCTTACACACTCATCATTCTTTTTATTTATTAAATTAAATAAATAAAACGAAATTACGATCGTGATTAAACAAAGATATGTGAGAGGCTAAATACGACATGTGTTTGCATATATATATACACACACACACACACATCTTATCAACATTGATCATGCAATTGGGGACTTGTTAATTATATAGTTTAATCTTTCTTGATGCGAGGATCAAGAAAAGGGTACTTAAACGTTCATGAATTAGAGTTGATCATACCAAGCAATATGCATCATGCATGAGCAAATATTTGCCTCGACATGACGCTATATATAATGGAAAGGGCTCCGGATCCCTTTCACCAAATTCATCCAATCAATCAATTCAGACCCTTAAAATTTGATTTAACGGCTATAAACAGGGGACCCTTTAAAAACTATAATAATTTTAACCTCTGAATCAAATTTCAAGCTCCTGAATTAGATGATTTGGTGAATTTAGTAGAAAGGATTCATTTCCATATATAATATGTATTATCCTAAACTATGATTGAGAATAAGCATAAATTCATCAAATTAAAGTGTTTAATTTATATTCCAAAACATTCCTCCTCGCATATATGCAGGGCATATGCATACGGCAAATTTGCTGTTCATGCCTTGGTATGTGACAGTATGCGTCTGCCATCACATGCATGGAACCAAACAAAATGCCACGTGGCATGCAATGCACGTATCAAAAGTTGGTGCACCAACAAATAATACGACAATCGAAATACTTAGGGTTTCATCAATGGGTAGCCAACATTACAACTCCAATTGGTTAGCTAGCCTGCAATTTTATGAGTTGTAACATGTAAACTTGTAAATGCAAGAGCCATAGAAGAGGTACATTACTTGAACGTAGCCGATCGATACACTCTACTCTTTGGGGAGCAGGATACATATATAGCATAGTACTATCGTAGTGTTCGTACACTGACCAAGTATGGACCACGTTATCAATAGTTTCATGTTTTTGCCCTTGTTTGGCTCTATATAATGTAGTAGGATTCTCTACTCTCTTATTCTCATCCGCTTCTATCATTTCCTCTCACGCATTGTTTTTTGTCTTATTATCTTTATAAAAAAATCGATATAAAATGTTGACATGACTTAACCATGATCGTTCAAATAGAAGGAGATGAAAGGGTAGAGAGATTAGGAGGGTAGAGAATCATACTCCATATAATGGGTGTTATATAAATGATACATGGTTAGAAAAATTCGAGTCTTTTATCAACCTTGTATCTAAATAGTGAAGCGGAATCCCTCTTATTAAGAATGAACTTGTATGTATAATATATATTTTAAATTTGATACATGCATGGTATTGGGGTCTGCCTGTTTGCTTAAGCAGCAAATTAATCCTTAATTTCCATCGAGAAAGATCCCCATGGCCACCAAGATTTAATTCTCGTATTTTAGTCCATGGGTTTGCATGGCTGT